GCGATCTCTGAATGCTTACGTTCACAGAGCTGCCCAGTGGCATAAGGCAGATCAGTTACTCATTTGCTTTGGTCCACCTAAGAAAGGGTTTCCAGCGAGCAAGCAAACCATGAGTCGGTGGGTGGTTGAGACCATCACACTGGCCAATGAGTCCTCTGGCCTCCAGTCACCTATAGAGGTCAGAGCAAACTCGACTAGGGGTATGGTGGCCTCCAAGGCCGTACCAGTGGGCGTGGCCCTTCAAGATGTTTGTGCTGCGGCAGGCTGGTCCTCTCCGCACACATTCATCCGTTTCTACAGCCTGGACCTGACATCTACTCCAGGGTCCCAAGTTCTCTCGTCTTGATGTGCTCGCCAGATACACACCAGACAGGGACTTGCTCGTATGGCGCAGTGGGTAATTTCATCCCCAAAGCGTTCGACGCAGCTCGAGTTCCTGAAGGGGAACGTCTCTAGGTTACTTATGTAACCATGGTTCCCCCCGAAGGGAACGAGATGCTGCGTCTCCCTGCCATACTCCCTGCGTCCCTGCAGGCGCTCGCTTCCGCAGGAGCTAACATGTGCGCTTGCTGGATGTGCCTTTATGCTTCCTGGTTGCTCACATCACCCCACTTTGGACTGATTTCACACATGCTTCAGAACGTGGTCTCGCCGGGGCGTTCCCAAAGTGTTCGACGCAGTGTCTCGTTCCCTTTGGGGAACCATGGTTACATACGTAACCTAGAGATGTTTTCACTAGGGAAGCTAGATGGAAATAACCATATTTTAATTTCACGAGTTCACACTTACATATAATTAAATAAAGGTTATGCGTATTTGGCGTGCTGTCCAGGGAGAGGGCTCCGAGCTCGGCAAGACTCCCGAGCCCGGGGCACCCTCCCCATGTCCAGGGAGAGGGGTCCGAGCTCGGTGTCCAGCCCGGCCCAAAAGCGCTCCCCCCCCCCCCGAATGCTTCTCCCCGTGCTGGGGTAGAAACTATGCTGAAGGTGCGGGGTCGGGGTGGCGGAGGGATGCTGAAAGTCGAGAGATAACGAAGGTAGGACGAATTTGGTTATTTATAGGAGTTTTCTCTTGCGCTGATTGGATAAATGGTGTAATCACTAATGATGAACTGGCCATGTTAATTATCTGTGCGTGCTCCTCCCGAAATTTGTTTATAAACATCCCTTAGTGTTTAAATTTTCAACATATTTGTGTTGGTGTTGGTCTGGATGCAGATTTGCCTACATCCAGTTATTGCCAATGAAAATTATTCATAAAGTCCCAATGCAAATGGACTAAGCAAACATTCATTTTACAATTGAACTGACTGCACAGAATCTAGAATCTACATGGAAGTCAAACAAACAGTAAAAATACATTTTTGAGTGCAGGCCATCTGAAATGCAAAGTTAAACTTGGTTTCAGACCCACATATGGCTAATTAGTGTTTAATAGGAACTAATCGTCCTTGACCATAAATAAAAAAATGCACCTCAGCCCAAAAATGAATGACATAGTTAGGCATAATCTGTTTGCAATATTTGCAACATATGGACTTCAGAACTGCTAATTTATTTTACAATGTAGTTACTCCATCTAAGACAACTGACAAACAGAACATGTTATTCTGGTGTCCTAGATGGAGTAACAACTGGTGTGATACTGAAACTGGAACATGGTTGTCTGGTTTGTGCTACCATAAGTACAAATTCCAATTTCATCACCCTTTAATGCAGCTTTGGCAAACTAAAGTCCATTAAAGTAACATCCAGAGAAATATTACAGCGACTTGGATGAAGTAAAAACTGAGATCTCCTAAGCAACAGAGACATGAAAAATAAGTGAAAGATTTAACAAGCTTACCCTGGGCCCTCTCTTTCCTGGTAATCCTGGCTTGCCAGGAGGTCCTGGAGGTCCCTGAAAGACAAGAAGGGAGGGAAAATTGTGACAAAAGGGTCATTTAGTGGTATATATCTACCTGCTGACATTGAATGAAATCCCAAACAGGGCAGTAATCCCACTATTGGATGGAGCTAATGAACCCTAGTCAATGTTATAGGATACTTTTTGACTTAAACCATTAAACATGCAAATACATAGTGTTTCAGTGGCTTGTTTAAAAAAATTAAGATTAAATTGAAAAGAAAAAGAATTGCTGAAGTAGAGTATTTTAAAAATATAACAGGTTGAAAACTGGTTTAGAAAAGGCAGGATTTTTCTTTGAAAACGTCTTTGGGAAAACTGAAGTTACCTTTTAATCAAAACTGGACTGCTATTGTTTTCAATAAACTGTGTCCATACTGCTGCACTTATTGGCTTGTTTTAATGGCACTGGTTTCAGTCACTGGTGCTTTTGTTAATTTTGTACATCATCTAGTTTTGAATCAATTACACACATGAATTATCTGAACTTGCATTTAACAAGAGGTCAGTGTTCATAGAATTGTGTTTTCCTTTCACTTGTTCAGAAGAGAAAAAGAACAAGAGCACAAGCAGGTCTGAAATATCATATCCAGCATTACTTGTACATCCGGCAAGAAAGATCACAAATGTCTGCCAATGTCAGTGAAGGACTTTAATCATTATTGTCCATTTTGATGTAATGTAGCTGCAAGTTTCTTCAGAATTTGCAAAAATGTGTCAGTACCCATCTACAGTAAGTGACATACTGTACACATCTGATGACAACATTGAGCAAATGGAAAATGTCGCTTTAAAAAGTGTTGCTTACAAATAAATTCTATGAGACAAACCCTGGCAATGTTTCGTAACACCTGTAGAGCTGGCAATATCCCACATACTCACACTGAGAGTGATGCTGCCAGGACTCCACAGTGTTTTCAGGTTTCCTGTTTCTACTAATTTTGTAAGGAGCACTAGCTAATAAAAGATAATTTAAAAGGTTTATGTTACTAATGTTTTCTCTGCTAAAACTCTGCTATAAAACTCTAAATAAACATGAATTTCATGAATATGTTGACTTTTTTGGTTTTTGTACAATAAACGTCGTTGTTCAAGTAAAGTGAGCTCTGCCTCACTCAACATTATATTAATCATTAGGACTCTATGGTGTAAGATCAACATAATAAACCAAAAGACATTGTGCACAGAGTGTCTGCTTGATATGAATGAAATTAATATGGTAATTTTGAGCTCCAGAGAGAAAGAAAGACAGAAGATCCCCATTGAGCCCCCTACTCTTTCTCTTCCACGTGGCAAATTTCCTGAATGAAAGCAATCTATTTTTCTCTCTCTGCCTCCAGGAAAGAATGAAAAGATTAGAAAAGGAGGAAACAAGGCCTTTTATAGTAGTTGCTTAAGGAGATCGCTCCTGAAAATGCACAGTGCTATCTGTGTGATAGCCATACTGAATGGCACATCTGGTTGTTGTTTGTTGCTGGAAAATAGTTCAGGACTTCACTGTGACTGTATGTACAGTACCATAAACAACACACTGCATACTAGTGTTGGATGAAGTTGGCAGACTTTATAGCAAATATAAGCTCACTTTCAGTAGAGCACAATTCTGCTCCCATCAAAGCTTGTTTTAATTCCTGTCTTGGACAAGGTGACACTTAAGCACAAGAAATGGAAACTAATCCAGGAAGACTTATAGTAGTAATTAGCAAGTCTGTTACATGATTGATTGATTTAATTAATTCTTATCCAATAACAATGCATCCTTTGTTTAAATGATTCACCATCCAATTGATATTAGTTGCTTTAGCGTACCAATGTTGGGTCGCAATGTTTGCAAGCATCTATAAACCCACCACCACTATTTTGGTCCTGGTCGTCCTGGTGACGGCTGTTAGGATTCTTTCCCTGCTGACTTCACACTATAGTCACACTATAGCCCTAAATAAGATACTATATAACATACTTTTTAGTATACATCCTACCAGGTCATCTAAAACTAATGAGAATGTTTTTAGGCTGCTCTGCACTGCAAAAAAACTTAAATAAATAAATTTAAAATGATAATAAATGTTTGTTTTGTTTTTCAGTAAACATTCTTAAATAAATATAGATGTACTTGACAAATAAAACCGCATAAGAAATATAACACTTTTTCTTCTTTTAGAGGAATAAATCTAATCACATTTAGAAAGGTTTATGTTTAAAACAAGAAAAAAAATATGGCAATATAAGGTAAAGAACAATAAATAATTCAAGATACATATTCTCTGAAACAATTTTACTGCTCAAGTGAATTTATCTTGTTTCAAGGATGTTTACATATGTTCAGACAAACTGCTGATTAAGATTTTTTATTTTTTTTTGCAGTGTGTCTCCAAGTCTCTGGCTTGTGACCTCATTATTTAACTACAAGGAAAAACTGTGTGCATTACACAGACAAAAACCCACCGGCCTGTAATGCCCTTCCAAAGGATTTTATAAACTAGGCTTAAGACCAAGACCACCAAAAGCTCAAAGGCAACAATGATGACACCATTTTCCAGCCTTCAACCAACACTTTGCACCCAGACAAGGTTGTTTAACTAGTAAAAGACGTGGTTGTGTAGTGTGTGTTGTATTATGTATTGAACTCCCTAAGAGGTAATGCAAACCAAATGACAAAGAATTCATATTAATGCATTGCAACAGTCAGCACTTAAATATAACATATGAAGGCAGATGACAAGGCCAAGGCGCACATAACACATGGCCACAGCCAATAATTCACATTTCACCATTCTTCAAAATAAGCAAAGCAGCACACTTGCCATCTGGCCACCATAAGACACTGTTTAAAAAGAAAGAAAATGGTCTTTATACCATGAAGTGTAAGTGGTCTATTGCAAGCTGAATGTCTTGTTGTTACAGTTTTGTAACCTGACTTAGCTTTGAGTATTCAAAAAAGTAAATTTTAAAGTCTTAAAGTCTTTAAAGTAATCAGGAAAAAATCCTGCTAGAATAACATTTTACTGTAAAATAAATTGATCATTTTACTAGCTGACAGACAAATTACTTGGCTTTTTGGGGGGAGTTGCACCACATGGAAATTTACAGCTTGAACTAACTGCCTTGTCATAAAAAGGTCAAATTATCAGATATTTTAAGAGACTTACTGATTTCCCTGTTGGATAAAAAAAAACAGCATATGCTGGTTAGGTATGTTTTGAAGCATGGCAGCTGGTTTGAGCTGGTCCTTACTTGGTCATGAGCTGGCTTAAGCTGGTTTAAGTTGGTCATGGCTGGTCCTAAACTGGTCCTAAGCGACTAGCTCCTGCTCAGGACCAGCTCATAACCAGTTTATAACCAGCTCATGACCAACTAAGGACCAGCTCAAACCAGCTGCCATGCTTCAAAACATGCCTAACCAGCATATGGTGTTTTTTCAACAGGTTTGACTCACAGTCATGGGGTCCTCTCAACGATAACATTCGTGTTTCATGTTTTTTGCATATTTCTCCATGTTGCTTGGACTACATGACTTTGTTGTTTGACTACATGTCTTAAAAAAAGAAAGAACATCCTACCAGTGGTCCTGGTTCTCCTTTCTGTCCTGGTGGCCCAGCCAAGAGGGAGTATTGGGTTAGTTCAAGGTCAAAGGTTTGGAAACCATCCGTTGCTGCAGGGGTGACGGGCTCAAAAGAGCTGGGTTTGGAGGTCTCCTTTGGTAATGGTCTCTGTGATGCTAATGTTGTCATCTCCGACACTCTGGATGTGCTAGAAGGTTTAGGTTTTGTTGTGGCAGGGGTCTGGATATCCAGTTTGTTCTTCTGTTGGCCTGCTGGTGTGGAGGTGACAGCCATCCCGTTCTCTTTTAGTATCTGGGGCTTTACAGTTGCCTTCATGAGGTTCTTCCTGGGACTGCTTTGTTGAGTTGGCTTTGAAGATATTTGTGATGTCCTACTCCCAAAGGAGGCCATGGCAGTTTGTGATTTGGCCTGCAGGGGGAGCTGTAGTGTGGGCTGGGCTATCGTCGGTGGCACCGTGCTTTGTACAGACTGAGATGTAATTAGAACGGAGGTGTTTAGGACTTGTGAGGTTTCATGATTAATGCGTACTTTGTCTTGTGTTAATGAAAGATGTCTGTCGTTTACCTCTGTTACAACATTTGGGGTCTGAACGGTAACAGATATATTGGGATCCAGGGATAATAGCGGTAAAAGAGGAGGGAGGTTTGGCCGATAAGTGTCAGCTTCCCTGCACTGTTTTTTAATGTACTTACAATAATTGTGAGCTGCCTTAGCAGAGGGATGAATATCAAACTGACAGATGGCTCCTTCAAACTGCACTGAGTTCTGGCTTGTTTTTCCCAATCGAAAGGAGCCCTCTGGATCCAGCGTTTCCTCATTTTTAAAATGCAAATGTGCATGTACACTTGTCTTCCCACAAGAAGTATATAAAGTAACCCTTTGGGCCTGGATTTCCAAAGCCAGGTTGTGCCACTGACCATTGTGAACATCATAATCGAACTTTACAGTGTTCTTTTGGCCCAAGTAAACTAAGATTTGGTCAGGGATGAACTGCACCCCTAGCTGCAGTCTTTTCCTCTTTGTCACAATGGTGAAGAGGAAAGCATTGTTTATGCGATGTGAACATACGCTGAGGATGAGAGAGAACGCCGAGCCCAGTGACGCCGGGACGACTGAGCTCACTGGGACGTCAATTCGCGCCCTCTGGGTTAGGATGACTCCTGATTTGAAGGGGATGACACCTTGGGGTGTGGAGCGTGTCCCAGATGGTCGTTTCCCAACCAATCCCAGTCTTTGCAGCACGTCCACATCTACAAAAAGGAAAACCACAAATAATTACCACAGTAATCACTACATGTAGATGGATTTAGGATTTAGGAGCAAAATGGATTTCATCGCAGCCGACTGAAGGCTTGCAGCTGCTGCTCACACACTGAGACACTGAGCTCATTACAGAAACAGATCATTAACAAAAGCATATGTAGAACATATGCGGCAAAGTTAATGTTTCATCTTGGGTAATGCTTCAGTTTTCCATTAAATACTCTGCTCTGCTGATACTGTTACACTTAGAAAAATAACACTGTGTGGGCTTATGTGAGTTATAGATTGATCACCTCTACTACAAATTCATTAGATTGTTAGAGGTCTGCAATAAATCAGGTCAAGTGAAGTGAGTGGGAGTATGCATCTCAAACATCCCTGTAAGATTTACGAAACCACATGCATGTTAGTCTGTATTGATTGAAGTGTTCCAGTTTATTATGTGGATTTGGGTATAAACCTGTAAAATATATAT